TTTAATTTTATTTGTCGCGCTGCTGATGACGTCACGTACGCGCTTTGATCGGGCGCACTTTAGTGGACCGCGGTTTTGACGGGTCACGTTTTTAACAATGCTGTCAATGTGATTTTTCGTGTCCTTTGAGAATCACAGGGCCACTCTCTTGGCAGCTAACCTTCCATAATAATTTTACTTCTTTGAGAAAATCATGGTTGGTTGCTGGGGATGGTGGTGGCGGCGGGGAATGACTTGCAACCATCCCAGTTCAACTTTGTTTTCTGTATTTCAGAATAGCCTTCTCTTTTCCCCAATGCCAGGTCTACCCTTTGAATAGTTCCAGGCCATCATTCTTCAAGCAAACTCCAATTTATTCCACACCATTGTTACCAAACTGGCTCTGAATGATGAGAGCTACGATGCAGCCTAAGTGGAGTGCCCTGAGCTGCAGAGGTTGGCCTGGATATATTCTATCTGAACAAAAAACAGGTCTCAGATAGAAACCCACCTCCTTGTCTCTTAGTTCTTAGCTAGCAAATTTGTGTTTTTTTCTCTCTCTCCTTCTGCTCCCTTTCAAATTCCCAGGACAGGAGATGTGGAGGGGGGGTGTCTTTTCTCTCTGCCATTTTATATGCTGACCCTTTTCCTCTTCCCCTCCCTGGCAGACGCTATGGTAGTGTAGAGTCTGCCGCAAACGGGCACAGTGACGCTGAGTCTGCTTCCGGGTCAAGCAGGCGCACGAGCCGCCAGCCCTCGCTCGAGAGCAGGCGCTCCCTAGACCTATCTGATAGGTGGGTCTTTCTCTTGTTTTTCCGCTGTGTGCCTTTTGCAGAGTCACGTCGTGGTCCTTGGTTTTTGCAAACTGGATTAGGCCATCAGCATCTATCCAGCAGTGGCTGCTACGACTCCTTTCCTCTTCCCATTCCACCCCCTGCAATATTTTTTTCTTTCCCCAAAGCAAGATTGAATTTGAAATCAAGATTTTGCTAGGGTTGAACTTCCCTTAACTAGTTGTCGGTGAAATGCACACATGCCCGCATGCACCAGCGTGCGCACACACAGACACACTTTGTAACGCCTGTGGGAAGATTTTTTCCTAGCAGGCAATTGTAACGTAAAGCAGGGCTAAGCAAGATCCAAAAGAGATGATTCTATGCAATGTCCTCTGCTTTAAAAATGAAGCTGTCTGGTGCAGATTTTCCCTTTCTCCAATCCACTTGGATACAGCTCTTATTACTCCCAGCAACCATGGGTAACTGCCTGCTTACCAGGGATGGTGAGTTAGTCTGAAACTGCTGTCTTCCGTGACCGGTTTGCCCTCCCTGATCAAAGCTTCAGATACAAAGCCAGAATCTGAAGATCTATCTGAGTGGATCCCCTCTCAACACCACCGCCATTTTCCATTGCTGTGTGACTTCTGAAATCAGCAGGTACACCGAGTTTGCACAATGTGTTTTAAGTAGGCTAAAATGGAGATGGAAATCCTGTAAATTCCATGTTCAGGGAAAACACATCAATCGCCTTAGCATATTGTGAGAACTAATGGGATGTGGTGGCTCAGTGACTAAGACGCTGAGCTTGTCAATCAGAAAGGTCAGCAGTTTGGCAGTTCGAATCCCTAGCACTGCTTAACGGAGTGAGCTCCCGTTACTTGTCCCAGCTTCTGCCA